TCTGCTTCCTGGTCGTTGAGTGTCCATCCCTGTACAACTGCATCTTATGCAGAACGATGCTGGCAGAGCTTACCGTGGTGCCATCGACAGTCCACTTAAAGATGAAGTATTACACCAGGCTGGGAGCCGTTGTCACCCTCAACGGAGACATAGAGGCAGCCCGGAGATGTTTCGAGGCAGCAATGAAGGGCCTCAGCATGATCGGCCCCTCTACTAAAGCGACCAAGCCTCCCCCCGTCCAGGAGAGCAGGCCAAAGGACCACGTCGACACCGTATACCTCGACTTCCGCTTCCCCGACGGGCAAGACCACAGGGACAAAGTCGGGCACGCTCCTCCAACGGTCAACGGGAAACCCTTCCACCCAACACACCCCATTCTAGACGGGGACTTCGAGATAGTAGTCCTCGGCGAAGATGCGGCCAGGAGCATGAAGATTGGAGCAGGATTGCCCGACTTGGAAAGGAAGTAGCTGAAGGTCTGCCTCCGTGAGAATGCCGACCTCTTCTCTTGGAGCGCCACCGAGATGCCCGGCCTTGACCCCGAGGTCGCCGGCCACCAGCTCTCCATAAACCTAGCCACAAAGGCCATACTATAACGTAGACGTAGGCAGTCCCCCGAAAAGTCGGCGGTGGCTGAAAGAGCTGTAAAAGACCTCCTAGAGGAGAATTTTATTTCGGAAGCCCGATATTCAACATGGCTGTCCAACATTGTACTCGTTAAAAATCAAATGGAAAATGGAGAATGTGCGTTGATTACACTGATCTCAACCGGGCATGTCCCAAGAACGCCTATCCCCTCCTCCTTCCTACTTCTGTTGAGCAGCTCCTAGATCAGTGACGCATGGCAGTCTCTCCGGGAAGCCGCGCTGAAATAGAAAATCTCCCTCCGCTATGATAGCAGGGTCATAAAGCGTGAGTTCTAGATCGGTGATCTGGTCTTACGGAGAAACCAGAAAGACTCACGTAAGGGAAAGCTCTCTGCTAACTGGGACGACCCCTATCGTGTCCGGGATAAGACGGTGTAAGGGGCCTACTACCTCGAGAACTTACACGGGGACAAGATAGCTCGACCATAGAATGCTGAGAAGCTAAAAAATACTACAGTTAAACATTGCCCGCGTCGACACGCCTCACGACCACGGGAGCGCGGCATGGTACCAACGCGTCTCCCCTAACTCAACGAGATAACAAGCGCATGCCCTTTGTGTGCGAGAGCAGAGCGTTCTGTTCGACGGGAACCCCTGAGAGTCACTGTCGTCGTACCAAGATAGGAAGAATACCCAGCTCACGACGGGACATTCACGCTGCAGAGATAGGTCCCCGGTCGTGGTCCATCTTCATAACCGACCAGGTAACCACCTCGGTCACTCAGCCAGTTCCCTACACTACCGGACACCAACGAACAACGTCGAGCTACTACTCTCAAACAACATGATAAACATGCAAACAAACATACAAAACATGCGAACAAGCATACATAAGTAAATAAACAAACACACACAAACACTTAGCAAAATGATGAAATTTTATAAAACGAGCACAAACCCAACTGTCACAAGGTTACAAGAAAGGGCACCGGCCCGAGCAACATTCAAGATGGAAAAACTAGGCGCGCAGGCCAAAATAAGAGTCTGGCACACAGGCCGACAAAACAAAAAGAGGCATGCAGGCCACCATCACCTAATCTATATGTTCCTTCTCACCATGGCCGACCTCGTCCTCCTCAGGTCCCCCGGGAGCAACTATACGATCGCCTTGGATCTGGTGGTATGAGCCAGTCCCTTCGGTCACCAAATCCACGTCAGGGTTGGTAAGCCGAAGCTGGTCCACGACCCTCTTGAAGCCCACCTCGACGACCCCCAAGCAGTCGTCTTCCAACATGCGGATCCTCTCCACCAGCTCCCGTCGAGATGCCAACAGCCTCTCCTCGTCAGACTCTTCCCCAGCAGGAACGACCAGGCCCTCGAGCTCAGCAACACGACTCTTGATCCCGACCAACTCATCCTCCCCATCCTTCAGCATCTTCTCGAGCTCTTGGATCCGCTCACAATGGATTTTCTCTTGTTTTTGGTACTCCCTCTGATCTGCCACCAGCTTGGACCTAACCTCCTCGGATACCGCCAGCTCGCTCCGGGTAGTAGCTAAGTCAGCCGAGGAGCACCCCTCCTCGTTCAGCACGAGAGTCGTCTCAAACTCCCTCACCACCGAAGCCAGGTCTTTGAACAGCATCCTCCTCTGAGCCTCCTTGCCCGCAGCCAAGATGCTCTTCACCTTTTCAGGAGCCACAGCAGGAACATTCACCCCCATAAAGAAATTTGGCCGGAGGCAACAAGGGGAAGAACAAAGCTTTGTTCTAGGGACCTGTCCGTCAAGTCAATCGGGGGCGTCTCAATCTCCCGTCGCCTCTTGAGGGCCGACGACTACGTCGGGGAGCCGCTGCCTTGCGGGGACAAAGCCAACCCCGTCGATCCAGCAACGACCTCCTTCCGGACAGCACCAACCCTCCCCAAAAGATGTCGGGAACCCCTATTCAGTAGCTTCGTCACGCGTTCCTCCACTGAACCCATAACACCTGCAAAAAGAGCACGAGAAAACAGTTAGTACAGAAAGTCAAAAGAACAAAGGAAAACCGAGGAAGCGTCCCACTACCTAAAAAACGATGAGCCTCGGCCTCTGTTCGACACTCGAGGAGGGACTTTGTATTGATGAACCGGGTCTCGGTCAGGATCTCCCCGTCAGCATCACGGATGTACTGCCCATCCGGCGTCACGCACTTGCGAGGGGGAAGACGCCCGACGAAGTCGACCAATTTCTTAAAAGCCAGGCTATCCTCCTCGCCCAGGCGATTAGGCCAGTAGATGAAGCTCTCGGTACTAGAGCAAAGGTGCAATCTATCCACTCTAAGGGGAAATTAGATTCAAAGCTCTCCTCAGATTCGTCGTCCACGATAGTAACCTCTCTCCGGAACATTGTATTGTAGGCCTCATCCGTCGTCGGCCTAACCACAAACCATCTATGAACCCCCGTACCGAGTCGGTGTATGCCCAGAAGAGCCTGGTCGGCTGCTTCAGGGATACCCAGTTATGTCGGTCAGCCACCGTTTGCCGCTACAGGTGAAAGACACAGAAGAACAATGATATGGTAGCCCCGAGCTCAAGATAATTGCAAACGATCTCGAATGCCCCGAGAATAGCGAGGGAGTTAGGGTGAAGTTGTGAAGGCGCCAAGATTAAGTGGTCGAACACGCCCTGTTGAAAGCCCGTGAATGGCATACGCATCCCCGCCTCCTTGAAAGAAAATTCGTACATAGGGAGCCGGCCCCTGTCGTAGCGAGAGCATATACGGTCTAACTCCCAAGGCCAACATGCTCGAAACTGACGGGGAGCCTCGACCTCCCTATTCTCAATCACGGCTAAAACATCTGAATCGTCAAGCACGAACCACGACATATAATTGAGGGGTTCGTCCCCGACCCACTCCCCGACCGGTCTGTCCGGGGGATCCACAACGACCTCATCTTGACGACCCTCTTCGTCATCGGGCAGATACCACATTGTCACCTCTTCTTCATGGTCGGCCATTTACCTAAAAAGTAGAGGAACTTGGTGAATTCAACAGCCAAATCAAATCCACCCTTCCACCGCAGTTCAAGTGAAAGGGCATGGACGCCCAAAAGACTATTTTTGGGGTGACCTGACCCTCTGATGTTCCCGGGGGAATGCAATCTTTATCCTCGGCGCATTCATCATTCTTGTTCGGGGTATTCATCGACTACCCTCGGGACATTCAAACATTCATTGATCCTCCCCGGGCCACTAATCGCAAGGGCCGGGGACAATCAGTCACAATCCTAGTTTTGAAGGACTCTCCGACTTATTCGCCGGGAAAGCCCACGGTCACCCCAGCGTCCCCAGCGGAACCACCAGGAGCACTGCTGGAAATACTAAAAAGCACCAGTAGGGAGGCGGAGACTTACGTGATTTGGTGGGAAAAAGCGGTCGGGTCGAGCAGAAAGACTGTAGGCGTCGAGCAGAACGACTGAAGGTGTCGAGCAGACAAATCATAAGGTCGAACAGCAGCAAAAGGAACGAATAAACGAAAAGGCGATCTGGGCCCACGTATATATACGCCCTAGCACAGAAAACGAAGCGTCGTTAGGCACTTAAGTGTCTAGTCCGTAGCCTCCATAGGGTGACATGTGATAACCCCAACCTTCCTTACGTCCCTTCAGCTTCCCCCTCCTCGACCACGGGCTCCCCCTACCCAACAGAACGACATGTTCGACGTTTTTTGCACCTTAAGTCATAGCTCGCTTGACCGCGAGCAACGACTTGGGGGGTATTGTTCTGGACTGGGCCGACGCTTGACCCATAGTCGAGCAGACCCAAATTCCACCAGGTTGGAAGACCCAATAAGACCTCATCGTCGGGCAGAGGTCTGTCGAGCAGAACATCTTCTCCCGTCGGGCACGGACCAAGGGCAGTCGAGCAGGATCCTCATAGCTGTCCGACTCGCTCTTCTTCTGCCCCACAGTCGGGCATAACCCATCTAGCTCGGGAAGCTCCTTGGATCTCCCCGACGTTCTCAACGTGTCCTCTACGCAGAGACACATCATCAGTGTCAAGTCAACAGTTCGACAGCTCAGACGCGTAGCCGGCCATGGATCTCTCTAATCAAGTACTATCATATATATATATATATATATATATATATATATATATATATATATATATATATATATATATATATATATATATATATATATATATATATATATATATATATATATATATTATCATGCAGATTTGGGTTAAACTGGACCTTTGTCTTTCTGTTTATGGATGTTTTTGTTTCAAACCAAAAAAATAAATCATAAGAATATCTATACTGAGTTCTTACATTGGAGTGAAACAGCAAACTAAGACACTACCAATGATAACATTGTAGAGCTCAAATTGAAAGACGAGGACAACAAGAAAACGATTTAAAGTCTTGGAGTTTTATGAAAATAAATGAAACATGTATTCCAAATTCACGAATGAAGAACCATATGGTCCAGAAGCTGCTTCTATTGCCAATTCTTTCAACCCCAAAGCTCTCTCTTTCATCTCTTTACCTTTTTCTCCATCCATCATCTCCTTCACATGACTCTCAATCTTATCCCTCTTAGCATCTTCAATCTCCAAACCAATTCCCCATTCATGACAACAGAATCGACAATTAGTATGTTGTTCAGAAAAGAAAGGCCAACATATCATTGGAACGCCGCCGCACACACTTTCCAACGTTGAATTCCAACCACTATGTGTCAAAAAAACTCCAATTGCTGAATGATCCAAAACTTCCTCTTGTGGACACCAACTTGACAGTAATCCTCTATTTTTTGTCTCTTCCAAAAACTCTGAAGGTAAAACAGCATGTTCACCGGTTATAAGATCTGGTCTTATTATCCATAAAAATGTTATTTTACTATTAGCAAGTCCCCAAGCAAACTCAATCATCTGTTCATTTGTCATAACTGTGATACTTCCGAAATTCACATAAACAACAGAACTCGATTCTTTGTCATTCAACCATTCTAAACACTCTGGCTCTTCTTTCCAAAGATTGGAACCAATTGAGTTTAATTCCTTATCCGTGACTTCTTTTAAAAGAAAATTTAATGGACCAATCGAATAGACAGGAGGTAAATTACTAATGGAAGAGAATGCTTCTAAAACGTCATGCTCTAGCGCATCAAACGTGTTTAAAATGATTGCAGAAGCTTTTAGAACTCTTTCACATTCCCATAATACAAAATCAAGCATAACATCATCTGGGTCCATAGTTCTCATGAAGCTCGGAAAGTCTTTTAATCGAATTTCTTTTATGCCTGGCACCCAATCAATTGTAGTATCCAAAAATCCATTTGTTATACAACTTGAATCTGCATATCAAATACACAAAACCTCTTTATATTTATGTAATGTCACAGTTCATATCAGAACTAACAATGAATATCAGAAATCAATATTTAGGTACCTTTAAGTGGTGTTAAGCCCTTTTCAATTAACTGGCGATATTGAAGGTAACACATGAAGCCACAAGCACTATTTGTCCAAAAAAGCAAGATAGGGACATTAACTTCTTCAGCAGCTTCCAAAGCAAAAGTCATAGTGCCATCAGAAACTATGGCAGTAACAGGAGGGGTGTCTATAGAATTATTTAGTTTAGATATAAGTTTTCTGAAGTGAGGTAGGCATGTTTTTCGAGTGGAGTCACACAAAGAAGGTACATCTTGTGTGGCTTCCTCGTCGGACTCTGGTAGACCATCTGGAATAGTTTCAAAACAAAAAGAGGAGAGACCGTTAAGAGAATTAGGACCTCTAGATTTGAGAAGACGTTTGTGATTGTATTCAGTGTTAACAAAGGTGACATGAAAACCACCTTTGGAATGAAGAAGTTTAGCTAGTTTAAGCATTGGATTTATGTGACCTTGAGCTGGAAATGGAATACACACAACATGTGGTTTGTTCTGAGTTTTTCCAAAATAAGTCATTGTTTGTGTTTACTTTTCTTCCAAATGTAGTAATACAAAGGGTTTTTTTGCTTGATGGGTACTGTCAGGTAATTTTCTCACACAAGTTTTTATAGAAGATAAGAGAGAAAACGTTTATAGATAGATATTTATTTCAAAAAGGTGTCATGGTATTCATACATCCGAAAAATATCTTAATGGATAAAGAAAAAAAAAGGGTGATGTGATAAAAAATGAAATTGAGAGAAATGAGATATTAAATGAGGGGAAATTATACTTGTATAAATATTGTTCTTGTATTTGAAATTTCATTTTAATGGTAATTAAATGAATTAAAATTATATTTTTATTCAGTGTCATGTTAATTGTACCAATCGTGAATCAAAATTGTTAATGCAGTTTTCAATGTTGTGGTACAAGTTACGCTGATGCATTTTTGCAGGGTGGACCTACAATATTCGCACTTCAATATTCAAGTTAGTTTGTGAATAAAGGGAGTAGAGTGGTTTGTCAATTATAATCCTTCATGTTTGTTGTATAAGTTGTGGAATATATGCAACGACAAATTGTTGGGTCTATGTCATATTTGATTGTGGCTCTTTGACTCTTTGGATTATGAATCATATGAGACATACATATCTTGTTTACTTGAAAAGATGACAAAGTCCCTATTCACAGGAAAAGGTGAAAGGGCAAGTGACTGTTTGCACCTCATGCCTACTAATGTATGTGGACCATTGGATACATCAGCCAAAGGTGAATGGGCAAGTGATTGTTTGCACTTCATGCCTACTAATGTATGTGGACCATTGAATACATTGGCGAGGTTTTTCAATAATTATCACATTTACTGATGATTACATTAGATATGATTATGCATATTTAATGAAACAAAAATCTGAATCATTAGAAAAATTCAAAGAGTTAATACATGAAGTACAAAACCAACTTGACAATAATATTAAAACCCTTCGATATGATCGGGGTGGTGAATATTTAAACTTAGAGTTTGATGACCATCTGAAAGAGTGTGGGATTCTATCCCAACTAACTCCTCCTAGAAACACCACGATGGAATGGTGTATCTGAGTGAAGAAACTGAACCTTTTATACATTTTTTGATCCATGATGAGTCACGATAGTCTTTCAAATACCTTTTGGTGACATGCTCCATTGACAGCAGCTTACACACTTAACCATGTTCCCTCCAAATATCTTTTCATGAAGAATTGGGATTGTGAAGTTTATGAGAAATGACAGATTTCAACTAAGCTTGAGCTCAAATATGATAAATGCTTCTTTGTGGGGTATCCTAAAAAAACTAGAGGATATTACCTCTACATCCCTTCTGAGGGAAAAGTGTTTGTCCCTCAGGATGGTGTATTCCTTGAAAAGGATTTTGCACTGGTCAAAACATATAGGCGTGTGTTCCTCCTGTAAAGGCAGGGCGACTTAGAGATCTTAGTAGGTATATTATGATGGATGATGGTTAGGACTTGCTCACAGTGGCTAAAAGCCCTGTACGGTGGTGTTTTATGGTGGTTTTAGGAGTCTAACTCATTTGAGGTAAGTGGCTATGTGGATGAATGATAGGCTTAGGTATAAGCTTCTGAAGAGTGTGATTCGTATGATTTATGATTTGTCTATGTGTTACACTTAGGGTGTAATGATTTGTCCCTCTTCCCATGGAGGAAGGAGTATTTATAAAATCCTTTTGGTCCTAAGGTTTGGGTAACCCTAAATGGCGACAACTACTCCCTACTGATAAGGAAAGGTTTTTGTTGACCTAACCTTTCAGGAGCAATGGTGAACTTCCTCTCCTTTGACTAAAAACTTTACACACCTCATAGGTGTCATGGTGAGTCCTTAGATCATAACCTAGGCGATACCATTCTAGGTAGCGGGCACCCTAATATAGGACGCTCACAAATATAAAACTACACAGTCTCTCAAAAGCACGACGACTTTGCTAAGGGCGAAGTGTTTTAAGACCCTTTTTTGTTCAAAGTACGGCCCTCGCCCAATCAATGAGTCCCAAGGTTGATATCGTCCTTTTATTAAAGGTGCGAGTCCCTCTACTAAAGGTGACTACTTGTCAAAGGACTAATCCCTCAACTTGGGGCATATATTTATTGGGTGTGAGTCCCTCAACTTGAGTAAATTCCCTCAATTTGAGGTGACTTCCTCATCAAAAGGTAAATATATTTAAAGGGTGTGTACCTCGGCTATGGATGACTCCGTCAATTGAAGGAGAATTTTTTATTTGCGTGGGCCCTTAATTGAGGGGTGAGTCATCTACCATATGTCTCCTGGTTAGCTTAAAAATTTTAGTTGGTTATGTCAATCAATCACTTAGCTTGTCATGCTTACTTTCAATTAATGTAAGCAATGATGACCGATTTATTAAGACCTTAACAATTAGCAGCATGTATCAGAAACATGCTGAGTTTTTTAAAACCTTTGGGGAGTTTAAAAGATCCTTCATGGTCTTCACTCCCTTATAAACGATGTCTTCTTTCATTTTGTTTGTTTCATTTCGATCTCTATTCTTGCAAGCTTGCCAGAACTATTCAACCTCTCATCTCTTCCTTCATAACCTTCTTCTAGGTGTGTATTTATCTTTCTCTTGCTTTCTCTAGCAAATAGGTTTTACAAAGATGCATTCAAAATGGGGCATAGGCTAAGCGTAGGGTTCTAGGCCAGTTGCCTTGGCTTTTGACAGTGATGGTGGTGGTTTTATTTTTTACAACTGTTATCTCAAGAACAAAATAAATAATGTTGACCTCATTCATCGTATCCAAGGATGCCAGAGATTTTTGATCTAGTTATACTTCTATTAAACAGATCTTTCATTTCCGATAAGGAGCTGAGGTTTCTTCTTCAGAAGATGAAGACCTGATCTTTTTAGAGACTCCTCACTGCTATAAAGGGTGACCATGCCTGTCACCTCTGATCCTTCTTCCTCGTACTTCTACTTTTAACTCCCTTTCAACATAGATATGGGGGATCTTTTCCCCTTTTATCACTTTTCTATGGAGGTCTTAAAGGTTCTCAATGTCGAGCCCTTCCAATTGTTCCAAAATAGTTTGGGTTAGTAGGGCTTTTGACATGGTCTGTGACGAAGTGGATTTGACTCCTACCGTGGGATTCTTTTTCTCTTTATACACCACCAAATTGGTGAGGGATAGGTGGGTACCTTTAAGAAATCATACTGGAAAGGCCCTATTTGTGTCTAATTTCAACCATTATAACTATTGGAGAGACAAATTCATACGTGTGAAGGGAAAGATAATTCCTTCGGTATGCTGGGAGCCGATGGCACCCCTTATTTTCTTTATCCTGGGGCGATTATGTGATATGGCCAGGCGTTCCTTATCCTCGAGGAGAAGTTGATTGTCTACCTTTCGTGGCAATTTTATGGTATGGAATTTCACAAAGTAATTAGGCTTTTCTTTATGGTCAAGCGATAGACACCTCGCCGCCTACTTAGGAAAATCGCATACCGCTATTCTTTTGTAGGCATTTTTAGACAACATATGTGATCTTTACTTTTATGTATCAAATGTAGTGGATTTATGCAGAGGAGAGGAGGCAGAGGTGAGAAAAGCTCAAATGTTTTGGTTCGGGCACCAACAATCCCTAGAGTCACCCAGACGGCTTCAATGTCAAGGGGAAGAAAAGGTAAGTTGAAGACCTAGCTCCCCACTCGCCTAATATGAATGTTTTTCATGGAAAAAATGGATAATCACAAGGCCCGTGATCCTACGATAAATACCCTCTTCCACTAGAGGGTCAGGTAATATAATTCTTACTCCTTTCTCCCTGTACTTGTTATCATTGTACTCGTCCCTTACTTTGGCATCGGAGTGTGTTTCAAGTATAACACCCCCCCCCCCCCACCTCTGTCCGTCAAATCAACAGTTTGACAGCTCAGACACGTAGCCGACCATAGATCTCTCTGATCAAGTACGATCATATATATATATATATATATATATATATATATATATATATATATATATATATATATATATATATATATATATATATATATATATATATATATATATATATATATATATATATATATATATATATATATATATATATATATATATATATATATATATATATATATATATATATATATATATATATATATATATATATATATATATATATATATATATATATATTATCATGCAGATTTGGGTTAAGCTGGACCTTTGTCTTTCTGTTTATGGATGTTTTTGGGTTAAGCTCACATATGTTGTCTTAAAATTCCTACAAAAGAATAGCGGTATGCGACTTTCCTAAGTAAGCGGCGAGGTGTCTATCGCCTGACAACCAGATCCTAATTACTTTTCCAAATTCCATACCATAAATTTGCCACAAAAGGTAGACAATCAACTTCTCCTCGAGGATAAGGAATGCCTGGCCATATCACATAATCGCCACAGGATGACCCGTCCAGGATAAAGAAAATAAGGGGTGCCATCAGCTCCCTACACACCGAAGGAATTATCTTTCCCCTATGAATTTGTCTTTCCAATAGTTATAATGGTTGAAATTAGACACAAAGAAGGCCTTCCCAATATGATTTCTTAAAGATACCCACCTATCCCTAACCAATTTGGTGGTGTATAAAGAGAAAAAGAATCCCACAATAGGAGTCAAATCCACTTTATCACAGACCATGTCAAAAGCCCAACTATAACCCAAACTATTTTGGAACAATTGGAAAGGCTCGACATTGAGGACCTTTAAGACCTCCATAGAAAAAGGATAAAAGGGGAAAAGATCCCCTATATCTTTGTTGAAAGGGAGGTAAAAGTAGAAGTACGAGGAAGGAGGATCAGAGGTGACAGTAGAAGTACGAGGAAGGAGGACCAGAGGAACAATCCGCCGACTTTTGTGGGCACTCATGATCCTGATGGTGCGCAGAAGTGGATGAAAGTGATTGAGAAGATTTTCTAGGTTATGGCATGCACTGATGCTCAACAGGTGCAACTTGGTATGCA